TGTATTGTATGGAACAAAGGTTACCTAGAAAATGATGCCTGGAGCCAAACTGATTAAAGATACTACGGCATAACTATAGTCCCAGCACTTTAAAAGCACCAAAGGCTACAGATACCGAAAAGGGGGAGGAAGGAGGATGTGCAAGTACTGCATTAGAGGGGAAGGGGGGGGGAGAGAAGAAAAAAAAAATCAGCCAAATTACGCTTGGTTAATTCAGAGTAACAGATCTGCCCCCAAGTGAATTGGAGGCCTTGAATTAATTCTGTTATGACAAATCAAGATAAACGTTCCCCCTAAATTGCATGCGATTTAATTAATTTTTGAGATCCTGGATTTTTTTTTTCCAAGCTAATAGTTCACATGCTCCTGTGCTGTCATTGTGCTTGAGTGGGCAGACTTCAAAGTGATATTAAATAACCAACTATTAGATTTACCTAGCACGTCCTATTGGAAAAATGCCATTTAATTACCTAGCCTGTTCAATTAAAGGGACAGCATTCCCTGAATATAGCAGCTTGCTGTTGATTACCAGAAAAATGAACTCGCTGCCTGGCGGCTCCCTTGCTTTTTTCCCTCCCCTCCTCAAATAGCTCATACTGCGGACAACCACGTGAATGGCAATGAGCAGCGAGGAGAAAATAGGAGTATCTTTTGCCTGTTGAAATAGGGATCGAGTGCATGTCAAATACTCCATGGGCCTTAGCAGGGTTAGGTAGGTGGGAGAAGCTGAATAGTCCATTCCATCCAAGGACAAGTCCATTTGATCTGAACCGTCATTAAAGCAAAATAAAAATAGAGGGGAGGACCAGGCATCTTTTTCCCACTTCAGCCCCCCCCTTCCCCCCCCCCCCCCCAGCAACAGATTCCAAACAGGACATATTAAACTGTAATAAGGAACAGTGGATGTAGAGATGGCTGCTAAAGCACTAGCCCTTTAAGAAAAGTCTATTTCGCTTCCCCACCATCACACTTTTCAAATCCACCCTAGCCAATTCTCTTCTCTTGCGCTCTCCAAGGCCAATTTTGTTAATTAAATGTTTTGTTTGCGACACCACTCTCATTCATTTCGGACACGTCATTCCAGGCAGATCTAAGCCAGGGATGAAATCTCATTAGATAAAACCTATCAGAACTAAAAGAAAATGGAGGAGACACTAATTAAAGCTCTTAATTGTGCAGATTCACTGCCACACTGCTGCTGCTGCTTTATCTAAAATCTCATGACTGGGAGGGCTGCCCATTACCGCCTCCTTTCCAGTCCCCCCCCGCACACCCCATTTACTTAGAGTACTATGGTTGTAAGTTAAGGAGCCAGGAAAAAAAAAAGTCAAGGGACTTCCATCCCTTTGCACATGCACACAAGCATCCTTAAGCTGTTTTGAGCCCAGTTTTGAAAAACTACAGTTCAAAGTCACTGTAAAAGCCCCTTGATTAAAAAAAAAGGAGGGGGGGGAGGCAAATCTACTCCTATCACAGTCTTAAAAGCAGTCACAGGCTTTCATTTCAGAACTGAATAATCAATTCTCCTCTCAGCTTTATAATGAAAGCATCCTACTGTAACTCTAATTAAAATCATAGTTGGAATTTCTGGACATAGCCCATAGGACAAAAGAGGACTTTGGAGAACTGTTCTTCTTGCACCTCTTGTTATCCCTTCCGCTATACCCGCCAGATCGAATGCCGATGAAATCGTTGCATCCTATTTCTTGACAGAGTAGGATTTCCACTTACTTGTTTTGGATACCAATAGAAAATCTGGTCTCTTTATATATCTAGATTAGTAGTCTTTGTCTATGGAACAGATTTCCAGACGCACAGCACATACTTGATGCATTATAATGTCCTGATCTTCATTTTACCTGGCAAACTGTCTGGTTCTATAGAAAAGTCAGGTTGATGGAATAAAACCAGTTCAAATTTACCATCTGATAAAGAGCACTGTTTTAACAACCCAAAACCATACCTGCAATATCTTTTGGCCAGATTAAAAACAAAACAAAACCCTGAAGGACAGATTCCAATAAGCTGGTCTGAACTTGCCTTGGGGATACAGTAGGGAACTTCTCTTTTTAATTAGTAGTGATCATAAGAGGTTTGTTTGACGGTTTTAGTAGAAAGAGACGAAATCTGTACTGTTCATTGAATTTGAACAGTAGTGTCAATTTTTCCACTTCAAACAAACCTCTTTCTCTAACCGTTCTGCTCTATTTAATTAGAATTATGTCTCGCTTATGTAGTTGCTTCAGACAGGGATCAAGAATACATCTGTGCAAGCTTGCATAAACTTGCGCTTTACCATTTATTCTAAAAAAATCTAGATGCTTAGCAAAATTAATATTGGAAGCTGCCTAAAATCTTTTAATGACTTTTTTTCTGCATTCTATTTAACTGGCTGAAAGTGCCTGCAGAAAAAAAAAGGATAAACAATAAATTATAAGCAAGCAAAAATCTCTCAGGTGCATTATTCTCAGATATCACTTAGAGGGGAGCCAAAATTCAGCAGAGTACTACACCTTGTAGTACTACACAGTACTACAGTCCAATAGAAATTCCACCAGTAAAGCATTTAAAATATTAATAGCCAAACACTAACATCTGAGGCAGGAGTATAAGGGAAATATTCAACCATGAAACGGGTTCTTTCACCCTTAAGACACTTTTGTAAATACAATCTAAAAATAAAGACTACTGAGACAAGACCCCATATGCTTTCTTTCTTTCTTTTTTTACATTCTTTCCATGCCAAAATGAGGGGGGGGGGATGTTAGTGAGAGAGAGAGAAAAGGAGGCTGTTTAATTACTGGCTGCTGAACTAGATCACCTTCTCAAAGCATTCATGTGCATCAAGTCTATCAAGCCATTTACTCAAATTAAATGTGTAATCCTTCAAAATGCCTCCTTTACAAATTAGTTTGAAAGAGCTTCAAGTTCACCTGAAAAGATCCAAATAGGTATCTGACCTCTTAAAATTCTTTGTTAATTGCATCAAAAAGTAGTTTGCATTAGGAAAAACAAAACTGGTATTGAAAAAGGGAGACGAGTGCTTTTTTGTAACAAGAGATATTTAACTGTTTATTCATCTACATCCAGTATTCCTGAGCTACTGAAAAATAAGCCCTCCAGCAATATGAACATAAACATTACTAATGGGCTACAATTTTGGGTGTGTGTCACCACATCAACAGCTGATCAACACTTTTACAACACGAATACAAAAAACCCTCATCATTTTAAACACCTTTTACTGAAAATACCACAACGAACCATTACTTTATACATTCACAGTCCCAACTAGCTCTTATCCTTTTTTTTAAAGGCGCCAAAGAATCCCAATTCTACTTGCGCAAGATAGGTTTTAGCAGCTAACTGTGAGCTGGAATTCTTAAAAGTTCAGGAGCACCTAAAAAGTTCATTTATTCACGTCTCTCCCAACTTTTCTATTGTTATCCTAGAAAAGACAGGCCCTTTACAAAATCAGGCTTCTAGTTCTGAACTGCTACCTACATACAAATGGGGTTATTTCTAGCTCAAACTTTATTTTTGTATCTGCGCATGTTCTTCTTTCCCTCTGCCCAGCTCACCTGATATAGTCATTTCTGCACAGGATCATGCCACTCTTCGTATAACAAGATGTACCGATTTCTCCCAGCTGGGCTTGGCAGCAGGAGCACTTCAGGCACCGACTGTGCCAATAGCTATCCATGGCATAGAGCAAGAAGCGATCAGCAATCTTTCCCCCGCAGCCTGCACATCTTTTCCATGAGAGGGAGCCACTGGTGACAGGGGGCGGTTGCGAGCTGCTGCCTGGGTTCACCATGGTCTGGATAGGGAAAAAAAGGAAGGAAGGGAGGGAGAGAGAGAGAAGAGCGGGTTAATTTTCAGGCAAACAGTTCAGGAAAACACCCATGCAATTTGCCTGCTTAATGCAGCACTTCCTAGAGGGGGAGAAGGGAGAGAGAGAAAGATGGGGAACAGCCACTTGTTTACTTTTCCAAGTCTTTGTTCTGGGTTAATTAGCCACGTCCCCTTCCAAGTTGGCTAGTGGTGCCCAGTGACAGTTTTAGCTCGCAATGCTCCTGTCAAACTTAGAGTGACCTCTGCTTTGTTTGTTGCCAAGAAAGTACACACACCTGGAGTCATACAGTCTACTTGGCCCTCCCAGATATAAATGGTTGGGGCCCACCACCACTAAAACTAGAAGGGCAGAAAAACCAGCTAGAAGAACACCAATTACAATTCTTGCGAAGAAGAAGCACGGCTGTAACTACTTCTCATGTTGGGAAGAGTTCAGGAAATTGTTTAGTTCTAGGTAGGAAAGTAATCTTTTGAAAAAATCTAGAAAGTTGTGAAACTGGTTTTTCAAGGTCTCCTTTTCCTTGCCATTGTTATCTGCAGGGGCTCCCAACCATGATTGTCCTAATGTATTTGTTCTAAAAAAGATCAAATACAGCGGAGTCCCACCTCCTTAAAAAATAATAATAATGGATCACTAAACTTTAAGAAGCCTGTTAACTTCTTATACAAACACAATCTACCTTTGTTTTGCTAATCTGCCCTTGATCAGCAATTTAAATGCTAAACGCTTTGTTGCCCTAAAAAAAAGAAAAAAAAACTTTTTGTGGTAACAGCAGAGGTATAGATTGTGTACACATGCTAACACAGAGATGTGTTTGTTGCTTTCTAATAAACACTTCTAAAAGCAGGGCACTGGGGAGATTAATAATAGAACCAATTCATAAAGCTTATTCCAAACAGATTAATTTGCTCCAGTAGCCAAAATAGGAGTGCCCCTTCTGTCATTTCTGTAATAAAATATCAAGTTATTTACTGCCAATTTAACATCCCATTTTGCCTTTGTCCTTTCTAAGCTGTGCTTGCTCAACCTATTTATTTAATAAGACCCCCCCCCCTCCGCAAGGGAAAAGGAGTGCAAACTTTCTTGCCACTTGCCTAACTTCACTACAACAGCAGCTTCAGGTTCCTTAAAATAGGCCATTAAAAAAAGAATAAAACAAACAGGATTTCCTTCAAAATAACTCCTGATCATATGTTTCAGATGACCACACAATAAACCAGACTGAGAACTGCACCAATTAAGACTGTAACTAAAAACCCCAAGACTTGGGAAAGAGAACCACTCTAAAAGCCATTAGCATTGCATTTCTCTGAATGCACCATATACCTTTATGTAAATTGATTTCTGATGCATTTAACTCACGGAATGGCCTTTTGTTACTACTTCCAGCAATATGAATCTGCATTTCTTACTTTTATTTAAAACAAACAGATTTCAAATTATAATAAACCCCATGGAGATCATCTGTAGGCAGACAAACACAAACCCCACCGGTTTTCTCTCTCTCCCTCTCTCTCACACACACACTCTCACACACACAGCCAATCTGCTTTGAAAGGTAAATATTATATATAAAGGAAATGTAACAGGGACAGAAGCGTCCAGTAACCCCATTAAGCTTAAAGCTCTTAAGGACAGGCAATACCTTAATGCCGATTAAATCTAAAAAGAGGCCAAATCAGGAGGGCTGACCAGAAAGTGACTCCTTGATAACTAGGGACAGGTCCTCCTCAAGTTTCATTTGGAATTGGAGGGGTGACAAGAGAAAGAGAAGAAAAGCTTTTAAGTTAAATAGGCTTACTCTGGTAATTACACAGCTAAGCAATTTAGGTCCCGGAACAGAGGCAATGAAACAAAACCAAAAAAAAAAAAAGAGAGAGGGGGGGGGGGGAGAGAAAGCTGGCAGCTAGAGGCAAAACACACCCTCCCTCTTTTTAACAACGTCTCTGGTGATTTTAATGGGAGACCGAGGGAGGAACAAACGTAGAAGCTTTGCAATTTGTTGTGCAAAAAAAAAAAAAAAACCCAACCAAAAAACGGAGATGCTTAATTCACGGCTTTGGTTTTAATTAGGTTGATTCATCAAGATTTCTCGCGAACAAAAAAGAGGAGGGAGAGGAAGAAATAGAGGGAGAACACACAAACACACACACACACACGGCTCACTTCAGAGTCTCCCCCAACCTCTCCCCCCCCCCTCCCAGGTCAGACCTGCCACTGTTTCAAAATAACACGGACTACAAAAGAAAGTGGGTGACGATCCCCCTCCCAGCTTCTCGGGACTCGCAGGCGGATTCCGGCAAAGGGGGGAAAGCGTTGCGCGCTCGGGGCAAGGCGATGCTTCCCCCCCCCCACCCTCTTTTTTTTTCTTCCCCCTCTCCTGCTACGCCGCCGCGGGGCAGCTCCGGCCACTGCTCCGCTGGCCAGGCAAGCAGCCCCCCGGCGGGTCCCGAGCAGAAAAGGGCTGGCGCGGTGACTTCCAGTTCCGGATCGGGATGGGGAAGGGAGGAGACGAAGCGGGAGGGGAAAGGGGCCCGATTGGGAAGCGGTCCAAATTAACAGACCGGCTTCCAAAAAAAAGGGAGGGGGAGAAGAGGCGCCCCCCCCCCAACCGCCTCCCACGTCTTACCTGTTTTCCCTCTATGGTGCAAGAGGCCGTGGATAACGTGGCGGAGGCGTCGGGAGAGCGCTCGGGAGACGGGAAGACTTTCTCGCCCGAGGAAGGAGGGGTGGAGGGGGGGGATCTGTCGCTGCTTCTTCGGAAAAGCCACCCCAGGAAAGCTTGCGCTGGGCGGAATTCTCAAGCCCGGGAGAATCCCCCGGCCCCGCGGCTAGGAGCAGCAGCAGCAGGGAGAGCGGGGTTGGAAGGGGGTGGGGGGAAAAGGGGGGGCAAATGTCCGGGGAAAGGCTTTGCTTCAGCCCTGCCTTCCCCTCCTTTTTCTCTTCCTTCCTTCGGCTTCGGAGGGAGCTGCAACCAAGAGCTTATTCGCGGCTGCCGAAAGCGAGCGCGGGCACCTTCGCCTGCCGCCGCCGCCGCTGCTGCAATCGCCGGGTTAAGTTTTGGCAGAGGGTTTGGCCGCCACTTCGGAGCGCGCGCGCGGCCGCTCTCTCTCTCTCTTTCCCCCCACGGCCCCTTTTCCGCCGCCGACACCTCTTCCTCCTCCTCCAGCCCTGCGGGAGGGCTTTGCCCCAAAAAAGCGGCTCTTCGATGCCCACCAACTACGGTCCTTGGGGGGGGCGCGGAGGGAAGGAGTCGGAGCCCGGAGTGCAGAGAGAGCGGGGATAACGGCCGGCTGCTGCTGCTGCTGCTGCTGCTGCTTCTTCTATTCCTCCTGCTGCTGCTGCTGCTGCTCCTCCGTCGAGCAGGAGAGCCGCGGAGGTGGCGGCGGCAGGACGTGCAAAGGAGGCCCCTCTCGCTAGCGCCCTCGCAGCTTCTCTGCGCCGCTCTTGCCCATGTGTTACTGACAGAGCAAAATCCCAACTGCTCGGCGGCTCGGCCCCATCGCGTCACGGACGCCTCGCCCAATCCGCCCGCGGCTTGTTCAGGCGGAATAATAAAACCTGCCAATCGCGAAGGAGACAAAGGAATGAAGGGGAAGGGAGAGGGAGGGGGGAGGAGGAGGAGGACGAGGCGCGCGGATGAG